ATCTTGATTTTCTTCGTTCATTCTAATAAAATCATAATTGGTTTAAATTATTTTTTAATTATTTGTTTAAGAACAAATTACCTCGGAATTTTATTAATCAATTACTTAATTTATACTTTTTAAATGGAGTTTCGGAATTTCAGAATTTTATTAATTCATTAATCAATTTCTTAATTTAGATTTATTAAACGGAGTTTTGGAGTTTTGGAATTTCATTAATCAATTTCTTAATTTAGATTTATTAAACGGAGTTTCGGAGTTTCAGAATTTTATTAATCAATTTCTTAATTTAGATTTATTTCGGAATTTTATTAATCAATAAACAAAATTTGTAATATTATTTATTAAACTTTATTTATATTAATTAATATAAATTATTTATAATAATATAAATAAAAAAAATTTTTTTTAGAATTAATTTAAAAGAAAAATATATTAATATTCGGAGGCAATACTAATTTGTAAAGAGCGAATAGTTTGTTCCAAATGATCGATGGTTTGGTGTAAAAGATCGGTTTCCCATTTATATGTTCTTTCTCTTTCTTCTTTTTCACGTTTGTGGATTTTATCTTTTTCTTTCAACCTTTCATTATATTCGTATTCATGTTTTTTTCTCATTTCATCGATTCGTTCAATTTCTTTAGCATGATTATCAATAATAGACATCAAATTTGTAATTTCTTTATTTTTTGCGGTAATTATTTCTCGGAAAAGACTGATTTCATTAGTATGGTTTTCTTTCGTTTCATTTTTTTGTTCCTCAAACGTTGTTGTTAATTCATTAATTTTTGCTAAAAGTTGAGCTTTTGTCATATTATTTCTAGCATCCATGCTTTATTATTTGTTTAAAATAAAATTAGTTTAAAATATAATTCATTAATAACATTATACTACTATATTTACTTGTTAAAAAAATTGATAAAACGTTGAGAAAGATCTATCAAACCCATTGTTATTTTGATTATTATTTTATGCAGATTTATTTATATGAGGTAAAGTAAAAAATCGATGTTTTTATATTTTTTTTAAAGTAAATTCAAATCAATTATTTAATTTAGGCATTTGGAGTCTCATTAATCAATTACTTAATTTAGTTTATCAAAATGGAGTTTAGGAGTTTCGGAGTTCATTTTAATCAATAACTTAATTTAGTTTATCAAAATGGAGTTTCGGAGTTTCAGAATTTGTAATTGATTTACTTCATACTATATTCAATATATTTAATAACGCAGGATAAAATAGTCGAAGCAATTGTACCATATAAATTTTTTTCATATGCACAATAAATCAAAAATATAATAATAAAGAACAAAAATATATTCATTAAAAGCTTTAAAAAAAAAATTCTTTCTTGTTGTCGCTCTTCTCGTTCTAACTTTCTTTCTTGTTGCCGCTCTGCTTGTTCAGATTTTCTTTCATCAATTAGATGTAGAATAATTTTATCTTTATTTTTGAGTTGTTTTTCAATTTGTTTATTGTGTCGATTGTGAATTTTACTTATTTCTTTTTTATGTTCATCATACGAAAATGTTTTATCTTCATTTTCTTTATTATTAAATCTATCATTATACCATTTATCAAGAAATTCATATGCTCGTTCTCTACATATATAATAACAAACATAAATATAATAAAATTAATAAAACTCTAAAAGTGATTACCTATTCATTGTCCAAAAAAAATTTCGAGATAATACTAAAGATTCCATATTGTATAAAAAAAGAACTTTATATAAAATTATTTCTTGACAAAAACTTAGAAGAAAGGAACTTCTATTTTTCTGCTAAACGGAGTTTCGGAGTTTCGGAATTTGTTTAATTAATTACTAAATATAGTTTATCAAAATGGAGTTTCGGAGTCGCGTATTTATAAGTATAAATTAAAAAAAAAACAGAAATTCGTATTGATGATCAATAATTAATATTTGGTATTACAAATTATTTATCGAAGTTTCAGAATTTGCAAATTAATTACTAAATATAGTTTATCAAAATAGATTTCAAAATTATCAGAGTTCGTTTAACCAATTACTAAATAAATTATTTTTCGGAGTTACAAATTTATAATATAAAAAACTTTATTGTAATTTATACAGTAATTTAAAATTATAATTTTATAGTTTAACAAATATGTGATTATTCAGAAATATTTGTTATCGCTTTTACTAAATTCATAATTTGTTTCATTCTTTTTTCAATCAGATCATTAATGTTAAATTTTACGTTAAACAAACTTATAGTAGTATTAATGATTGAGTTAAGGGTTCTTAAAGTTTCTTCATATTGCAAATTTTCTTTGGTATTTTCCTCATTTTCAGCTTTAATTTTTTTATTTTCTTCTTCCAAATCATGGATTTTGTCAGTAAGTGGTTTAATTTGGTTTTTTAATTCTTCATTTTCTTTTTTTATTCCCTTGTTTGATGTTTTTAAATTATCGTTTTCGTTTTTTAAATTGTCATTTGCGTTTTTTAGGTCTTGATTTTCTTGTTCTAACAAAGGATTGTTCGACTTTAAAAAATCTATTTCATCTTGTAGTTTTTTCTTATCAGCATTTAGAGTATTAATAATTCCTTGTATTCTGTCGAGTTCTCCTGAACCACTCGGGATTTAGAGATATTTTGGACGAATATTTTCAATATTTTCAGACATTTTGTTGGAAAATAATTGAATAAATTGTTTATTTATAAAAATATGTTTAAAGTAATAATATAAATAAATTGTATATGTATAAAATACTATAAACTAATTGAAAATATTTAATTTTTATTCTTTATTAAAACAATTCTTTGAAATTCTTCGGGTGTTGTATATTTTCCTTGATAATCTAAATGATAATATAATTAGAAAAAAAATAAAGTAATTGAATAAAACTCATAAAAATTTAATTTACTTGGCATTCCATTTCGTCTACTCTGATAAATAGAAAGAGAATTTGGTTTGAATAAGTTATCAACACTCATATCATTTATACCTTCTTCTGATTTTGCATTTATTTCAGCTTGAAAATATGTATGACAACGTTGTAATTTATCGAGAAACCTATTATCGTATTGAGGCAAGCTCCATTTATGTAATCTAGTTCTTTTATTATTATGTTAATATAATTATATTGAGGATTAAAAATAGAAAATAAGTCATATTCTTTTTTAATAATATTTTTCCATATTTTCCTATTAAACATTTTTTCACTTTCTAGATCAGTTACTTTAAATAAATTATCAGCTATCGTTTTTACACTTAATGGGTTGCTTTTTCCAACCAAAAAGTAATGGCATCTCATTAATTTTCTTACAAAACTAATCTCGGGTCTATTTTCAAAAAATCGTTCTTTGTTCAAAATATCTCGACTGTTTTCATAACAAGCTTTCACCAAAGCATCCATACTTCCTATTTTTCCATTAAATGATTTAGGATCATTTATTTTAGTTTTAGAATCCAATTTTTTTAGACATCTTAATAACATCGTTTGAACAAGACCGGTTATTCCAATTTCTTCACAGGCTTTTACTAAATTTTTAAGCATAGAGATCAAACTATCACCAGTTTGAAAA